AACGGATATCTTATTCGTTATCAATACCTTAGAAAACAGAAATGGATTATTTTTTTTTGTAAAATTTAGTGAATCTTCCTAATTTTGGCCATAGTTTAGAACTTTTGAACCATGGACGTTATTCGCCCTCTCTTCCCTGGTCGCCTTATTTCCAGGTTTGGCGATGTTCATTGGCCTCCTCGGTCCCCAGATTTATCCATATGCAATTTTTTCTTATGGAGACACCTCAAGGCTAGAGTATACGCGAACAAGCCACGAACTCTGGACGAATTGAAGGGCGAAATTCGCGTGGAAGTCGCCCAAGTTGAGAGAGCGATGTTGGAGAGAGTCTACGCGAACTTCCAAGAACGCCTCCACCACTGCATCAACGATTTTGGCCACCACATGCCTGATGCGATTTTCCACACTTGACTGTCTTAAATGCTATTTCCTTGTGTACCTGATTCCATCAATAAGTTTGTTTTCGAGTAAAAATTAACTATTTTATGATTTTTTTAAAACCGTCCATCCTCTCTGCCGCACCCTGTAGTACATGCCTTCTACTCTACTTTTTTTTATTGTAACTGATCGTGGATAAAATTTTGTATGTATCTCGGGCATAATAGCGTTTCTGAAAAAGCCTCCTTTCAATAAGTGACTTTCATTTTGCTTGTCGACTGGCGCTATAAGCTGCTATCAAAAAAATTACTGAAGTCGTCCCTGACTGCTTTCCGTACATTGTTCAAAAAAGCACGTGCACGGGTATGAAGGCTCAAGATATACAAAGGACGATATTCATTATAGTGGACCACCGGGACTCCTAAGTAGTTTATGTTCAATGCATTTGGTGCGGTCAGGCTTTTTGCAGACCTTGCAAGATTTTATCTTCCATGCGTTAAACTTTAGCTTGTATCTCATTTAACGGTGTTGTTTTAAATTTTGTAATACAAATCAAGATGATACAGAGTTGTTCGGATATATGCTCAGTGGTTCAAATTACATTATGTTCCATCTATCCCTCTTTATACAGAGAAAACACAGTGAACATGATGACGCCAAACTGACGTCATTACTGGATCACAAAACATCATTGACTGAAAAATTACGTCTTTATTGACGCCATTTTTATGACGACAAGACGTCCTTTGGAAGGTTGTCTTTTTTAGGACAGTCACTACTGAAAAATCAACACTTACTTACCAAAAATAGACTTTTAATGAACAGTAAGGTAAACTAGATATCCAAATACTAATAACTACTTTATTGTTATTTATCAAAAGTATCAGGAATTCTTTGACCAAAAATATTGTTATTATGACTTTTCTAATAATAATACTCCCTGTTCAGATATTTCAAGTTGCCATGTTCCATCATATTTTATTCCCGTAAATATCAAATTTATAAGAAACTCATTTGTATACCAATAAACAAGTTTTGCTAAAATTTTTTGTAATCGAGCGCGGTAAAAATCCAAATTTTGGAACGGTATATCATTCACCCGATCATCACCGAAGAAGCACGATTGTACTTGGTGATGAGCTCCACCGATATCCAAGTTCCATGCGTGTTCGCCGTTTGGCAATGATTCGGCCATTTTGCTTTATGAATATTGCAGCGGTTTTTTGGGTTCTTTTGGGTATGGATTAAAAAACACTCGATTACACAAGAAGAAATGCACTAACTTATTTAAAACACAACACAACTAACTTTACTAGCTAGAACATTTATATACACAACTATTTATGTCTGACTACTTATTTACAAATTATTATTTCGCGCCATTCACTCAACTCTGCTTCCCTTTCCCGGCCGTCGGCTTATTTATTCCGCATCGCAGATACTCGTTAGTTCGCCACATAGCGTCAGTACAGAACCTTCGGGGCCAGTCTTCGATCTCGAAGGAGAGTGCCTGACGCGGTCCCCAACAGATGTCGCTACTAGTCTCACTCATTCTTGTTACAATATACAGGGTGGCCCATGCATGTGTGGGCGGAATATTACTCATAAACAAATACATTTTGGGAAAATCTATTTATGGCATGGTATACATGACATTTGAGGGCACATTTCTAAGATATTGGCCATTATACAGAGTGTCCCAATTTCGACCTACATATCAATGTTGTGATTTTTCAAATAGAATGCCTCAAATTTTATTGCATATTTGGATAAACCAATTCAAAAGAAGAAAATTGATATAACATACTATGGGATTTTGGTAATTAGCTTCTGAGATATAAGGTGTTTTGTCTAGAAAAACCCCCCACTTCGGCAACCCCTCAGTCTGCCATTTTGAAATTTGGAGTGCTGAATTTTGTATAAAAAAAAACTTACATACCTCAGCTTTTATCTTATTTGTCACTTTTTCGATTTTTGATTTTGCTAATACAGGGTGGTCAAAAACGCAAATTGTAGTTTTTCTCAAAAATTTCAAATGCTTCACCCTGTATATTAGTACAAATTTGGGTTCAATTTTTCATAAGCTTTCTTTTGATACTAGACACATAATGTTTTTACGGCTCTTTTTTCGGGTATTAGCACGTCTTCTATGGAACGGCTTAATTCCTTAAAATATATATAAAATGAAATTGTTGATTAGTTACAAACTGTCAAAATTAGCTTTGTGAGTATTATTATTAAAAATGTGTTTAAGAATGAATTTTTCTAAAGAAAAAATGGTGAATATGGTGTTCGTTTTGGGCGTAACACAATGAAATAGTTTCCTAGCATCTCGCATTATATCTTGGCCTCCTAGATCACCAGATATGACACCGATAGACTTCTTTCTATGTGGCTACGTTAAGCAAGAGGTTTATAGATATACACCATCTACCCCGAAAAGTATGAAAGAAAGGATTAAGGATGCTTTTCTGAACATAAGGGAACACATGCTGAGGGATGTGCAACGGTCATTCATCCAAAGACTACGGCTGTGCATTCAACATGATGGAGATATTTTCGAGCAGTTTTTGTAGATTAGCTCTTGAGTAGTGATGATTGTTTGTTTATCTTGTTATTATAGTTGTTTTTCTCTATTACGCTTGAAGCTGAATACTGTTCTGATCGTTATTAGTTTTTACGTCACATCTGTACTCTTAGGGGCAATATGGAACTAGCCCACTGTTTGTCTTTTGTTTCCATGGATGGTGTAATTTTTGTCCTTAATTTTGGTGTGTTGTTCTATTAAAGGCGTAATAACTCAAAATCTAGTGATTTTATCTAAATCAAACCTTATACCAAAAAAGAGCTTATAAAAAAGTGAATCCAAACTTGCACAAATATAAATTTAAAAGTCATTACTTACCTAGATACAATTAGCTTCAAAATGAAGTAGGAGGCCTTCATACCAACTTAACGTTTCTTGGGAGACAGTTTGTCAAAAGTTATGTGTTACACGGTCGTTATCGTTACCACTACCATTTTTTATTTTCAAGTCAAGTCAAAGGCTTCTTCTTTCCATGTTTGAGTGTTGTAAAATAGAATTTAGCAATGATGTGTACGCCGATATAATTTTTGTGGACGGCTTCTGTAATGGAAATGCTTTAGCGGCTTTCGGGAGTATCAACGTAGATTTCCTAACAGACGCCAACCTGTCCCAAAGGTTTTTACGCGTTCATTTCTAAGACCTCGGCAATATGGAATTGCCAAACTTCCCGGAGTTAGAGGCCATGGTTTCCGGTATACTGTTCAAGAGGAACTGGATGTGATTAATTTGGTGTTCGATGATCCCAGTACAAGTACTAGGCGGATTGCAGCCCATTACCACGTTCCCAAAGTGTTGAGTGGAGAATTTTAAATCGAGAAGTTTTACATCCTTACCATCGGCAAAATGTGCAATGTCTCCAACCCAGCGACGAAGTACAACGGCGAAAATTTTTGTGAGTTGTTGCTGCAAATGATTAATCAAAATGCAGATTTTATTGATTTGGTTTTGTAGTCAGATGAATCGCTTTTTACGAGGAGTGGAATATTTAATTCTCATAATGAACATATTTGGTTATTAAAAAATCCCCGTTCTGTAAGAATCCAGTCGTTTCAACACAGATTTTCTAGAAATATCTGGTGCGGCATTTTCAATAGCTACTGTTTATGCACGTATTGCCACAACGTTTCAATGCAAACTCATACTTAGCTTTTTTAGAGAATCACTTGGAAAATGTATTACATGATGTTACTCGTAGCAACGAGAGTACGAATGTGGTATCAGCACGACAGTGCCCCACCGCATGTTCGTCGTGACATAACCGCATGGTTAAATAATCATTTCAGGCAACTGTGGATTGTGCGAAACGGACCCGTACATTGACCTGCGAGGTCTCCTGATTTGAACCCCCTGGATTTCTTTTTGTGGAGGCTTTTAAGCAACTAGTGTATGCTGAACAAATTAATACTGTTGATCAGTTACAAGAAAGAATAGATAATGCGTTTCATCAAATTCAACCCACAACAAATTTTGAGGAAACAAGTTTTTCCTTATTGAAAAGATGCCGCACTTGTTTGTCAGAATGTTGGTGTTTTTGAATATTTATGGAAATAAAGCTTTGTCTAATTTGTTTTTTATTGTTACGAAAACAATGCACTCAAGGCAAAAAATACAAGAGTAAATATTTGTAGCAAATTGAAGATAAAATTCAAAAAAATGCGAGTATGAAAAAAAAACAGTGACATACTATTTTTATTTTGAAAAATAAAGGCACTAATCCCCTGTATCGCCGCCACTGGTGCACGATAATTTTGAGTAAAGATTTTTGAATGTCGACAAGAGTTACGTAAATCCACATGCCAAATTTTAGTTCATTCCAATTGACGGTTTTGAAGATATTTTTATTTTTAAACTTTAACACCTCGTATCTTTTTAATGAATCCCTCGAGGAAAAAATGCGGTCTTGTGTATGATGTTTCATTTTTGGTCACGACATGTGAATCACCCTGTATAGGATCTCCCTCTGTGACCATATCTTGTCAGTAGTGAGTGATCTAATTGTGTCACACAGGGATGAGTATCATAAATAAAAATACAATAACAGTCCATACATTTTATTGGAAAATAACTATGGTAACAAAAAAACAGTCAAAACTAATAATTGATCATAGGAATTTGTTCATATAAAATTATTCTGGCACTGGTTAAATCTATTCAAATTGGTAACAACCCAATAATGGTAAAATAAAATCTACATCACATGTGCTCTAGTTAAGTCTACAGATACAAGCTATTTATATTTTTTTTAATCTCCTTTGGGATGTTTATAATGATAGGCAGCTATCATGACTAATGAACTCAGTACTGTATTGACACTGAAGTTCAGCAGCAGTGTCAAATCCATTGAATCGACACAGATAGTGAAAACCCTTGCTAAAATAAAAAAGGATTATCAGAAAATGGCTTGGGATATTTCCAGTTATCAAATAAAAACATCTAGAGCTCAAGTCTATTATACTAGTTTAATAACATATATAAAAATTAGAAATGTCACCATTTTGTAAATGTTTGGAAAGTAAAGTACATGTACTTGAATCACATGTTCTTTATATGTACCTACATACATGTTACACTACCATCCATACAAAAATCATTATAATATGAAGTAGGTATACTGTTTACTTGCTGATGCTATGCATTAGATATTAAGAATTGATAAATGCAACTGTGGTTCTTATCATAAAACAATTGGAGCATAAGATGTAGATAAACAATTATTAAAAAAAATATGTTAAAAATATACATATATAAATATCAACATATTGGATATTCTGCAATTGAATTCTGTAATTACTTATGAGCACCTCTAAAACAATGGCTCCTGAGAATCCAGTTGACTCCTAACTTTTGCATCTCTTTATCTGCAATACTTGGCACACTATAAAAAAATTGCTAACTTTTGCTCTTCATAAGCTTTTGGGAGCTGATTCTATAATATACAAGCTTTCTCTTGGCAATGTTAAATCAGCCCCTCAATAGCAAAAATTCCTGTAGGAACCCACATAATGACTAATAAATACTTCATTAATATACACTTACTGAAATTTGTAAAAGCTGATATAAACCATGTCCACACACTGACTGATTCAGAATTCTTTGTTTTTAATATCTCTACCAGCTGTACAACTTTTGATGAAGCTCCAATTGGTGTACAGAGTGGCTAAAATGTCAACTATCTATTATCAACAAAATCTTACAGAAAAACTTAGCTGTTCTTACCACTAAAAAAGCTAAAAGACCTAATGGTGTGATACCAGACAAAAACGATACTAGTGTGGTAACATAGAGCATTGAGATGATTAGACTAGTCATGTTGAGGAGATCCTTGTAATATAGCACGATACAAATGAGTATTATTTCTTGTATAAGGATAATGGGATACTCGAGATAGCTTAGTATGGCATATCCATTGCGATAGTTGTATGACATCATGATTGTGTAACTGAAAATAAAATATCTCTGTAAAAGGGAAAATTTACATACAATGTGCCATATATTACCTAGTGAGTTCCATCATTAGAGCAATAGTATTAATTCCTTTGGTACTCTTCACCCGTAAAATAGTTAAAATTTGAGGAATCTTGAGAACAAAGCATATTATAATAGTTATAACACTAAGGAAGTTTGAGATATGTTGCAGTATGCTCACTTCATGTCTGTGCTTCATTTTGATTAGAAGTGCACTTAAAACTATTATGAAATTAGTCAAAACAGCAACATATTTACTTGGATTTCAAACACTACATTTCTTTAACTGTCGGTAAACATAACCTTAAAGTTAAAGTAGCTGTCAAATTTAAATCGCTGTCAAAATGTTAATGATTTTTGTATCACCAAAAACTTTAATATTATACTTGATAGAATGACAATAATTTTCATATAATAGGGATTATTATTAAAAAATAATGAAATAATACAACACACTGGGGTGTTTCCCACTTTATTCCTTATCTAAAATGGACTATGTACAAAAAATAAATACTTTATTCTTCGGATGCGAACTTTCCGTTGTAGTAAGGAAGATATTGTACAATGACCTTCCAGTCTGTCATGTAGCAAACGGCAATACCAGCCGTAGCCCCATAAACTCCAGCTGAGCCAAGCCTAAAGCAAGAGGATTTGTTACATAAGTTTGCCTTTACTACCACAAAATTAAGTCTTACCATGCTGACGCTACTTGGAGGTGCCTCTTTCCGAACTTGTTCAGTAGGGACATTGTGGATGGATCTGATTTAGATTTAATTAATTACTTTTGAGCCCTAGAAGCCCTGGAAAATATCGAGATCCTGAAGTAGATATGTCAGTGTCAAAATATTTTTAGGTTAGTTATATCGTCTTCTGAGGTGGCGCGGAGTTGTCATATTGTACATTGGAAAAAGAATATTTGTATAGAAATGTATTCAAATCTTGAGAAGAGTATGGATGTTCTATCTCTGAAGGAGATGCGCCTGCCTCTTCCACTCATGGACGGAAAACAAGGAACATTCAATAGTATATAATTGAAACAGAAATTCTGGATTAAACATTAAGCAATAACGCCCGGAAAACCTATCTATAAAGTATAGTCATTTAGTCATAGACCATACCGCCCAGTTATATAATATGATAATAAGAGTGACAATATTAACAATTACAAAGTTACAGCGAACTGATTGGCTTAGTTTAGTATTTGGAAACTCTTACTCTTAACCAATCAGTGCGCAACATGCGTTAAGTGGTAGGTACATTAGTAATACATTTATAAAATAGAAAAATTACGAAACACTGGTTACTAAAACAAGATACAGAGGTACACAGAGGTAGGTACATAAAAATAATTCATGATGTTACATCTAAGATCAAACGGTTGACGAATCGAACAAAAATTTAACTTTTTTTATGGAACACAGGAAGCGAGTACCTTTTATACGCCTCAGGAATTACAGTATATCTCATGGCAACGTTATATGCACGTTTGAAAGATAAGATTAAGAATGTAACCCCAAATACAGGGTCTCTTAACAATAATATTTAGGATTTAGATGCAATGAGAAATATCTGACGCTACCGCCATTATACTCAATCATTTTAATTGGCTACCTCGAGATAAATACATGCTTTGTAAGAAAATTTAGAACGCTGAGAAATTAATTTCTGAAGTTCAGGAAATTCAGTAGAAATTTGGCAACGTCAGTTGCATGAGAGACATCTCTTGGTCATATTGTGCTATCCGATTGATACCGTTGAGTACCGTTGATAACTGGTTGCATACCCTGCGGCTTTATTGCATGGCGCGTAGGTGTTGCATTTAAATAGCGCATATTATTTAAATTCGAATTACTGCTACATCAAAAATAAACCATTTATTCATAACAATAAATAGTAGAATGATTCTATTATTAGTTTCAAATCACACCTTACACGTGTCGTTTTATTTCACAAAAGACTGCTTGACCCGGCTTTACGTCTTGTTGCTGGCGCGTGAAGTATTGCCAAAAAGTATATGCGCGGAGTTCGCGTGCGAAGTTAGAGAAGTCAAGAGTTCCTACCCTTCAGCTATTATCGCTTTCAGTGCCTAACACCCGCCGGTTTTATGCATACGTGAACGCCGAGTGAGATAACTCCGATATAGCTGCGTAAGTACTCATACATACCTCCTTTCGCTGCAAATTATATAAAATTGATAAAAACTTAGCGTACTTTATAACTTGAAGATCATTATTTTATTAGGAATTTATAAATCAAGTGCCTACGTATAAATAATTTTATTCTGTGAGTGCTGGGAATCTACTGATGGGGTAGTGGGGAGCCTAGTGAAATTTGAGAGGGCGATTGATTGAGTTGGGAGGGGCGGCAATGTAATGACTAATTTGTGTTTTTATAAATATGTACTTAAACGAAGATTGAAACTTTCGTACCTACACGGGGGTCCTATTCGAAGTAAGTTTGTGAACCTATGATATAAATCAGGGCTGTCCAACTTAATGTGGCCCAAGGGCCACTTAAAAGAAAATGCAGTTTGGAGGGCCGCATTATAAAATCTTTCTATATAACATTATTACAGAGTTAATGTAAGAATTGTGCATATTCGGTATTTGAGAGTAATTTGTAGATGTGATGTAGAAGGAAGGAGTTGGACAGCCCTGATATAAATAATTACGTAGATAGAGCAGATACGGATCTAGGAACAATACAGGAGTATAAGATAGAAAAAATTCAAAAATTTTTTGCTGGTCCGTTACAACCGTTTGAATGTTTTCGTGTGTCCTAAAATCGCGAGGGGATTTTTCGACTTCTGGAAGAGAAAAAAGACCCAGACGAATAAGGGGGCTGAGGAGTCACAGGAATGTTTTTACTGGTCAAAAACTCGTTGATTGACGTTGCTGTGCGGCAAGGAGCATAATTGTGATACATCCCCCAGTAGTTCTTGATCTGATTAACGGTGGTTTGATTTAACTCTTCCCCGATCGTTCTGACTCTCAGTCGTCGATCTAAATCCACAAGATCCCGTAGTCTGTGGATATTTTTATCGGTTCTTGAAGATGAAGGTCGTTCGCTTCGTGGTTCAACTTCAATCGAATCTCTCCCTTCTGAAAATACCTTAAACCACCGTAGGCCTGTTCAGCAAAAGTTTCCGTTGCACTGTACCCAAACCTAATATCACACCGTTGCTAGACTCTGATGTCACTGATTTTTAGAACGCAATAGACAAAATTTTTTCACAAAAAATCGCTACGAACAACTAAATGACTATAGCGAATTCAAACTTGTACTGAAAGCGGATCACATGTTCCTCTGTTCCCCCTCCGAGCCCGACGCCTCCAGTGTTGCCAGATCGAACAATACGTTGCCGTTCTCATCACTTAATTTACAGACCTCGTATTCCACCTTGAATCGGAATGAGTCTTTCACTTTTTACACGAAATAGGGAATTGGAATCACAAGTTTAACTTTTCTGAATGCACGAACATTCTTGTAGCTAATTTATGGAAATAATATTAGCAGATATCTTTGTTGTTTCAGTGGTATTACGGTTATTCCGAGACAGACCATGTTGGAAAATCCTATTCGAGATGTGAGTATCTTTCAGTAATTTGGCACTGTTTAATTAATTAATTATGATTTATAGAGACTATAAAACACTACACAAGTTCATATATGAATTATTTTTGTATCTGTAAGACCATCCAAATTCTATACAGTCTAGGCTAGATGTTATCTAATATTTGTCTGACGAAATTTAAAATTTTGCGATGTATGTATAGACAAAAGCAATAAAAAAAGTAGATGCAATAAGTCAAACTTTTTTTACTATGCTACGGTTCGCAATCTGAAAAGCAAGTTTTAGGCGGTAAGCCAAAGGATAAATTCTCAATAGCTAAAGCCTCAGAGAGTATGGAATTTTTTTACTTCCAGGCTAAAGCAGCAACAGCTTCTGAAGAAGCTTATTACAATTAAATATGATTTCATCCCTATGAGACAACTATGACTGGTACTATCTTCAGCGGCAGAACATCACGAAACGCCAAAATCATCTTCAGATGTACCGCTGTGGATAATTAAATAAAAAGTTTTCCGAAAAGGATAGTATCAAATAGGTTAACTCTGTAGTTCCCACGCATTCACATATGCCTGATTTCCTGATTTTCCAAACGTACAATTTGAAAATCTTTGACATATAAATGCTATTTCAGTATTATTTTTATATGTAAGTTAAGAATAATCGAAATTTTTCAGCTCCGTAATATTGTTTTTGTCTGTGCTCCAACCTGAAGTAATAAAATACCAGGAAAGCAAATTTTCTCTCTGCCAAAAAAATATGTTATCTTATCTAAGTTAGTGAAAAATATTCGCCTAAGTAAAAGAGAAGTGTTTTGTGTGACTAAAGCTTTTGCTGACTACTGGGCTTCTGAGACAATCTCCAATCCATAGTCAATTCACTTGGTTCTTGAAGGTATTCTGTTACTATCAGCATAACTACTGGTTGCTTATGATTTAGGCTTTTTATCTTGAACGAAATGAGATCTGGCAAAATAGCTCAACTGGTGGAAATAGAAGGTACAGATACCTACACAACTTATCGAAATCCATATATTTTAAAAGTGTTGTAAATCATACAACACCAAACGTTGGGAACGATCTGAAGCTGTTGGTATTCTGAAGGGTTCAGTCGATGTCTTCCAAAAAAGTTTTTGAAGTTGCATTGTGGAACTTTGTATCAGGCACAACGAAGGTTACTTTGCAGAACTCTTTCAAATAAGCCTTCGTAATTAATTTTTATCTCGGTGTAATATAAGCATATTTCAGAATCCATAAGACCTTCATATCTGCCATCCTTTCGTATATCGAAAGCGTATGCCAGCTTCCAGGAAAAAACATACATGTCACGAGTATTACAAACCTGGAGCATTACAGTGAGTGTAAATGTCAAAACCGGCTTAGTGTTATCTGATGGGTTTATCATAGTCAGTAGTGTTACAGCTTTAAATGCTTACTCAGAGTTTAAAAAAAAACGAATATCCATGCGTTGCTTGTCTTGAAGGGGATGGCTTCCACCAATTTGCAAAACTGCAACAAGATGCAACCAACTGGAGGAGAAAGAACGATGATTATCTTCTGTTTCTATTGACGCTGAGGGTCAAAATCCCATAAAAAAAGATGGAAGACGTAGCACCCAAACCAAAATGACTAAACTTAAGTTACCAAAAAAAAAGGCTGCTAGTCCATTAATTGGCGCTTGGGGCCTAATATCCCAGAGTCCGGAAAATGACGAAACGACCCCTGCAACACGATCTCAACGGAAACAGAAAAGCGAATCACGCAGAACACGTAACGTTCTAGAAGAAGGTATCTTGAGTGGCCTTAAAGAAGATATTTTTTATAGGAAGCCAACTAACGGAGAAAACTACAGAGTTTTTTGCTGATCGTCAACACCATACTGAATCGCTGAGAAAGAAAGATATATACGTAATACGACTGAAATTATACAATCAAGAAAGTATTAAATTTGCCAAAAGAAAATCATTGAAAAGGGTTTGGCCTAGGAATGGGCACTCTATTATCAATGAAGATAAATTCAAATTAGGGATAAGTGACAAATATTAAAAAAAGGTTACGTTATTTTGGCACGTGACAAGATGATAAACATAAAAGGATGACAACTAATGGTGAAGATATACTAGCCTTATCTCAGGGAAGTTGGCCTAACGCTCCGAAACATATTTGTGATTTTTTTTGAGGGCTAATTAAAATTTTATTTCAAATATAATTTTAGTTCATTTAAATATTCATGGGAATATAACAAAATAGGCATGCTAATTATAACGAATTGAAAATGTTATGGAATCAAGCAATCAATTTTTCAAGAGCAATTTGTCACAGAACTGCCCAAAAACTGGGATTTAAAACTTAAAATGTAGGCTTAAATTATTTGTTTATTATTCATATTTAATTCAGTATTTCTAGGCAAAAGAGAAGCCCTTACTGACAAATATTTAGAAGAAAAACAGACTAGCGTGGGTCAAAGAACACAAATTATGGTCTCCGAACCAATGGAAATCCATGATTTATAGTGATGAAGCCGGATTTGAAGTATGAGTTGGTGATAATAGGAATCGCGGCATAATAACTAAAGAAGTGTTTCAGAATGACTATTTAAAAAAAACAGTTTGTTGAAGGTATTATGAATGCCGATAAGTAGATTAATGTGCTTCAAAATAATTTAATATCCCACATTGAACAAATGCGTTCAAATAATTTTGAATGTATCTTCCAATAAGATGGTGCCGGCTAAAAAAGTAAAAGATTGGATGTTAGAAACCAATGTTTCAGTTTTAGAATGAGGTCGAATAGTGCAGATCTATCGCCGATTGATACCATGTGGCATATCATGAAGAAAAATCTCCGATCGAATCCCGCAAAAACCGTTACAGAATTGCGAAACAGTCTCCAAGAAATTTGGAATACTTTAGTGGACACTATGTCAAGACGTATCGAAACAGTACTCAGTAGAAAAGGCGATGTAACGCAGTGGTGATTTGCTGCTATTTGATTTCGTTGATTTTTATTAATCGTCAGGTTTTTTGAATTTGTAGGATATTTTTCAAAAAAAAAAACGTAGTTTTGATAGTTCGACCAACTTCACTGAGACACCAAGGCTCGTGTACTTATGTATTAAGCAACAAATATATGCAGAGCACAACAATTTTGTACTATAAAAGTTGTGATATTGTTGCAGATGTTAGAGTTACTAAATGACAGTTCTATAAATGCTTCCGTTTTGAGCAGCTTGTTGGCTAAAGTAGTAATTCTGCACATCAAAACAACAGGGCTCGTTTTTTTGTATAAATGTGACCATGGTTGTAAAAAACAACTATTCTGACTATCGAACCAATAACAAAATAGTTGTATAAATGTTTCTGCAACAGTTCAACATTTATCCTATACTATGTGGTGTCACATAAGTATGCTACAAGAATGTTTTAGACACCTGCTTATTTTGGAAAAAATATGCTGCATTTCTCACAATATTTAGGCAGCATTTTGGAGTTCAGGCACCATTTTGCTGTTTGGTCTGGGTCATGGCGTCGTGCTGGTAACTAACGGTTATAGAATGGAATTGAATGCAGAAGGAACGCTTAGCCGGGGAATCATTAGCAAATTCTTTAGGGATACATTTCGCATTCTGAATTAATTAAGAATTAACTTGTGTTCGAGCTGTTAATGATTCAGTGGACATTGGAGAATCCATATTGACGATTACATAAAACGTGTAGGCGCTGAAAGCGGGAAAAGGAAAAAACTTTTTAATTATCGTAGTATGTCGCTCACATTCATATAGATCAGACGAAAACCTCGCATCCATGCGAGAAATTTTCCGACCCGTTTTTTTCGTAATCACGTTTGATGGATGACTGGTTAACAATCAAGGGGTCGCTGGGCGTAAACTCAAGGCAGTTTTTCAAGCAAATTAGAAAACATTGTTTTTTCCGCTCTGGACGAAGTTTCAGCAGAGTAACTTTTCTCCCAAGTTGGCCGTTTTCAAGTTTCAACGTCCCATGTCACTTTTTTCAACAGCCTATCTGGAGGAGTATTCTTAATACTTTTCGTCTCATTGTTTCATGGTGTGTATAGAGATAACTAAAAAACAATGTTATCAGTTTCTGTTTTGTCAAAAAATGCATTTTGGTTCGTTTTTCTGCATCGTAAATCGGTAAAAAATAATAGTGTATGAAAGAATTGAGCAGGTGATTAAATGAATGAATGAATGAAGAAATTGGAGGCATACTGCATAAGCATAAGCGGGCCCTTATGCACCAGTACATTCCCTAAGCATCCAGCTCCGCCCTTCTAGCAAAGTTAAGTATATTCCTGACGCCCACCTCCTTAACTTTCTGGGGATCTAGAGCAGTGCCGGATGCTGTTCGATTTTCGTCTGCCGGTGCGCATGACGTCACGCAGAGAGTGACTCTCATTTAAATTGATATGGATAACGTGCATATTTTCACCTAGAGGCCAAACGGCTGGACGGATTCTCACATATGAGGTGTCATTGGATTCGTCTTAGCAGTGCGAGTGACAGAATCTACATTAAAATTTTATAGAAAACAAAATGGCGGACTTAAATAAAAGATGTCAACCTTGTAATTCCTATCTCACAGGCTATAGCATAAACGGCTTTCTAGCTCCACAGTAGAGCGTGTATCGTCACTTTACTGTAAAAACAAAATTTTTCTACATTACCTATATTTTAGTATGTTCTGTGGAGCAGGATTAACATGCTCATGACGTTAATACTGCACTACATTTATTCCTCCTTATTTCACAGAACATCCTAAGTACTAACTACACGCAAGTGTGATAACGTGCGCATCTCGAAAAGTAGAAAAATGCAGTAAGCTGGAGGTATAATAATAACTGGGAATGACTTAGTCTAAGCTACAATTTTTCTCCGTTTCCTTTTACGATTTTTCTGCTCTTTCAAGCTTTTATTCAGTTCTTTGATCCGGAAGAACATCCTTGACCTGAAAAATACTTTCTTAGCTTTTTCAGGACAGTCAATGTTGCTGCTCTTTA